CTAATAGTTTCGTTTGATATTTTCAATTCCGATAAATAAATGAAATAAATAGTTTTCGTGTTTTAAATGACGTAATATAATTAATGTATTATTTTACTAGATTTGTCTGTCATTATTATTTGACGTTATTCAATGTGGCGACTGGTAAATTAGTTATTATCAAGAAAAAAAAACTATAGATAGTTTTCATCGATAAGTGATATCATGCGATTTTGTGAGTATACGAAATGACTCTATGAATATGAGTGAGCTCATGAGTACTGGTTACTAGGCTTTTGAATTTTCGATGACAAATTATAACTTGTGAAATCAGTGAAATAGAAAGTTTGACATCAAATTATCATTTACAATAGTTGAAGATTGGAATATGTCACATAAACAGACTGGTAGTGAAAAGTCATCGTGCTAGTTCTGAAGGTCAAAGGAATGATCACATATAAGGCAGTTTGTGTGTGAAGTTTTGTGGCTTATTAAATGTAAACAATACGGGTATCTAGTGCTCAAAAAAAAACTCAGCGATAAGAGGAGAATAGTCGATTTTGTGTTATTTCATGTGGTAGTAAATAAAGACTAAGTGCATGTGTACTACTGAGTCATATCCTGAGCCATGTTACTTATTTTGAGGTTTGAAATTCTTGGAGTTATTAGAAAGGAAACCTTGGATCCAGGTTTTGTGCTAATCGTAACTCACCAACAAGATGCATCTAGAATCTTGAGGAAATCGGAGCGCTTCATGTGGTTCGAACTCTTATCACTCTATCTCATGGTCTTAGGTGTTACCATTGAGCATTTAAGGAATAGACAAACATGACGTTGTTCATTATTCTGCTATCAAGTAATATAAATATTTCAATCATGAAAGACGCAAGTTGTCCCAAAATAGATCAGTGGAAACATCTCAGAGTGAACTAATTTGACATAGGTTCGAATGCTCAAGTTCACCTTGTTGATGGCTGGCAACTAGCATAAAGCCAAGGTTCAGGGTTTCTTGTCGACTGCCTTTAATAAACTAAAATGAAAATATGTTGTATTTCGTATTTAGTCAATCGTAATAGTGGTAATACTGCAGATTGATAGACAGAACTCTATTGACAACAACATCCTCACTTGCCTAATTAACTGAAGGTGGTTTAGTACATATTCTCATGTTTAATTATCAGAAGTATACATCCGAAAACCTTCATCATAAGTTACCATGTTCTATAGGAGCTCTTGTTGGAACTGGTTGGTCCACTATGATTCGTACTTACATCACTCAGATTCAAAATTATTTAATTTTATTCTTATTAACAAAGTTCAATAATGACTTACCCGTTAAAAACCATTGGAAATCAATTAGTCTAATATACAATTATTGTATTTTACTTAATGTTTTCTCAATAATGTCAATTATGAATAATCGATTCTTAAACAACTATTGATTACTGATTAAATAAATAATGTACAAATGTGAACATTTAATTAAAGAAATTATGTTTACAACTATATAAATCAATAATCAAAAATTAACTCAAAACTGAGACGTTTTTAAACGATTACCGTTTTCAGAAGGGGGTTTGTGGAGATTTTAGTGATTTCATAATTGAATTCATTAGTCAATTAAAGCTAGACAACCATGGGAAACCTGGAAGCACTGGACGTCCGTTTCGTCCCATTGTGGGACTCCTCAGCAGTGCGCATCCACGACCCCGCCTAGTGAGATTTGAACCCGGGTCTGTTTTGGGATAGTAACTCATTGAAGATAATGGTCGACGGTTGCTCAATTTCGTGGGTCGGTTGAAGTTAGACATTAACACCGTCGGATGCCGGCTTGTCGGTCAAAAGGTTAAGCGCTCACGCGCGAGACTGATAGGCCCTCCGTTCGAATCTCGCGAGGCGAGATCATGGATGCGCACTGTTGAGGAGTCACACACTAGGACAAAACGGCCGTCTAATCCTTCCAGGTTTTCCATGGTTCTCTAGCTCCAGTTTACTCATGAATTCAACTATAAGATTACCGTTTTGTTGAGAAATCAAATAAACTGACTAAAAATTCTAAAACACCAAAGCATTGACTGATCATTTAACCTCAGAAACATGTCACTATTGAAAAACATGGATTATATATATGAAGTAGAATAATAAACCCTACTGGTATTAACCTATTTATTCTGACAGATTAATTAGTTATAAACATGATTCTCACCTACCTAACAGCTAATGAATACAAATTTGATCACAATGTATCAAGTAAGGTCATTTATCTTTGAAAATATGTTTCATATGGATGGGAAAATAATGTGAATTATCTCATTTTTGTATTGTGGACAAGAGGTCTTTTCTAAAAAAAAAGAGAACACTTAATCCAATTAATCAAGATGACTATTAACATATTTAATGATAATTAGATATGTTATTACTATTAATCGTAAAGATTTGTGCTTTTCCTGCTGTTGGTAATTAGGACTGTAAATGATCAATCTCTATTGGGACATATTGGATCCTAAGTGACCTGTTTCGATGTTACCATTAGAGACGAAACTCTATAATTAAGTTGGATTGTAATTCTTAGCAGTATCCTAGATGTACTTTTATTCTGTTTAAAAATCATTACGGGTGAATATGCCTGCTTTTGAGTATTCTCACATTTATCTTGTATACCGAACGTACTTTTTTCTGTGATTTATATTCGTAGAAATTTCACGTTTTTCCATGGTTGATATTCATGATTGAATGTGCTCACAGTTCCTGTCTTTGGGATTTTTTCATAGTCTCTAATCATTATGTTTATTTTTAATTATATTCTCCCTTACAATGCATGAATAACAAACAATAGAACTACAAGTCTTAATTTTAAATAGTTGCTATCACTTACCATACAGTTCAATTTTAACCTTTATATTTGACAATTTTGATACTATTCTAAAATTTGGATAATCGAAAGAAGTACAATAGGAAGAAATCATGTTTACCAGCAAATTTTTGTATTCGTTTCTGTTATTGTGTACGTAGGTGTGTGGTTCTGTGTTGATTGATTTTTTTACCAATGTTTTTTTTCGTGTAGGAACAACAACATGTGGGTTTATTAAAAATTCCAGATGGTGGAACAAAGTATTTCAAAAAAGCATAGATCAGTAGTTTCGTTTTGACTTTGTATAACCTTGTCCTTACATTAATCACCTCTCTCTATCCATCGTCCCACCTAGTACAAAGGTAGCTGATATTATGATAATATTGATGTAGGATATTTGCATTAATGAAAAAAACACTAGGTTAAAAGTGTTAGCTTTGATCATGATGAAAAATCTAAAAGAAGTGATCAGCATTTAACAATATAGTGTGAATAAAGAAGTATGTTTATTTGTAACAGTCAGTCAAAGATTTAAACATAGTTGAATAGTGGCTTGCGATTGAATCCAGGTTATACGTTTTGTCATATCTGGTAGTTATCAGATAGATATAACTGTGAAACTGATCAATAACAGTAGTTAGCATCAACTAAGAACAAATATTAATAAACCGTAAAAACAAATTTAAAATTCCATTTCATTCCACAAGTCAATGTATATTTGAACTAAGTGGCTAAGCGGATAAAGCGTTAGGCACTTGAAGTATGTGGTTTTTTGAAATAAGTAATGCTAATGTTGTCGAGAAAGACAATCATAACTTCGCAACTAAATAATCCAGCTCAAAGAATATAATAATTCTTGAGTTGACATTTCTGTTCTATCTGAATGTTGACCTACTACCTAGAGAGGTTTATTCATTTTTCATTTACATTGGAGGTGATTTTTAACGTAACTAATATTATTTCACGATGTTTATTAAATGTTTTATTCATGAAGTAGATTCTATTCATTTGACTGAATTTTTCACAATTTTCGAAATTCAATCAATTTAATGAATTCAGAATTAGAAGGGGTTGTGTGGAGATTTTAGTAATTTTATAGAGTTGAGATCGTGAGTCAATTGAAGCTAGACCATCATGGAAAACCTGGAAGCACTGGACGGCTGTTTCGTCCTATTATGGGACTCCTCAGCAGTGCGCATCCACGAACCCGCACTCGCGAGATTCGAACCCAGGACTCATGATCTCAACTCTATAAAATTACTAAATTCTCCACAAAACCCCTTCTGATTATGATCATGTGCTCACTAGTGACTGACTCCTTGAGGTATTTCCTGGAGTTCTAGTGAGAAGCAGTAACCGGTGGAGTTCAACCAGGTCTGTTGTGAGATAGTAACTCACTGATGACATTAGTGAATGGTTGCTCAATTTCGTGGATCAGTTGAAGTGAGACATTAACACCGTTGGAAACCCCGGCTCAATGGTCTATCGGTTAAGGGCTCTGGCTCGAGACTGGTATGTCCTGTGTTCGAATCTCGCGAGTGCGGGATCGTGGATGCGCGCTGCTGAGGAGTTCTATAATAGGACGAAACAGCCGTCCAGTGTTTCCAGGTTTTCGATGGTGGTCTAGCTTCAATTGACTAATGATTTCAACTATATAAAATTCAGTATTATTTATTTGTTTAGTTAGACACTTAAATATTCGTACAAAGGGGCACCAGATTCCCATACGCCGCAGAAATCTAATTTCGTCTGCGTGAGGGCTGTTATACTGTCCGGGTGCCAAAAGCGAAGCAAGTGATATTCTTAGAAGGGCATACCTGGAGCCTTGGACCTAAAGATCTGATCCGCAAGACAGTGGAGCATCGTTAGGAGATGCAGTCCCATGATAGTCGGTGACCAACGATTGATTCTTACGCCATTTTTTTTATTCTGGATCCTGGAACCCATGTGTACCATTGGTTTGAAATGAGAGTTTCCCAACTCCCCTAGGTAAAATTTCCCTGTTTACCAACCCGGTTAAAGCGCCGGATATTCGCTTTTCGTCCTCTCAATTTTATAAACAACACCCCTGCCACGAGAAGGCAGTAAGTAGGACTTCCCTGGCAGAGGCTGTATACGCGTGGCCATGTGAGAGTATTTGGAGAGGGAGAGAATACTCTCCCCACTCTCGACCGTACCAGGGCATTTGGGGGCTAAATTCAGAATAGCTAATCATTCTTTAACATTTAATTATTTAACTATCGTAAAAAAAATAATTCTTTCATCATAGCAACAACATGTTAAACGTATGATTTTTACTCTTACAATTGCATACTTGTGATAGTTATAACACTATCCAAATGTTAACAAAAACTGTTTTTACTCATCTTAAACTCTCAATTACTGACTTCACCTGTGAAGTATTCGTTCTTTTGTAAACTAAGAACACACATGCTTCATTTACCGCTGACTATTATTCTTAATGTCAGTATGGGATTGTGGAGATTTTTGGATTTTTGGAACCGATCTAAGTAATACAGTTGTACAGTCCTAACCACCAATCATAATGTATCACGAACAAGTTAATAGCATACATGCCATACAGCACTACAATAGTACTACAATATCATGAGGATACAAGTTTCTATGAGAGATGAGATTAGATAGCTCACCTCCATCTTACATTTGCACAATAATTATTTATAAATATACTCTGCTAGAAGGTGATTTTGCATTGGTTTTAAGGAGAACCAGCTACCATTCAGGCTATTATAAAACCTGAACACCATGGCTCGATCCTACGGAACAATTGCACAGGTACTAAGATCCCTGGTAAACCAGAAGTTTACATAATATGTATTTTATTATAAATCATAGTATCAGGATAAAATAAAGAGCAAAATTATTTTTCACTTCAGCGCTATGTTTGTTCACTAAAGCATTCATTTTAACCATGTATACCATTGATTCTTTATAGTACGATATTCATCCAGTATTGTCACTATTTTCAATGCTGCTTAATATTCATCGGTTATTAGTTTTTGTCTTCTTCCATACATTGTTCCACTAATAGTTTATCACCTATCCATAAACTATTTCTCCTAGTTGTAAGGCTTAGAACAAAGAAGAAGTAAAAGCGCTTCCTCGGTCTTTTTGGGATTAAATCTTACTACCTAAAACCAGTCAAATAACATCTAATAGAATATTATAAAAATCAAATGATCGGGCAATCGTTAATTGATGACATTATTAATATTAATATTAAAGGTCAAATAATTAATAATCCAACCCAACCAATCAAATACATAGCTTGAAAATGACCTTAACATTAACAATATAGTAAAAATAATTGTCGTAGTGATAAAAGAATTAGTGGTGAATTTTCAACGGTCATATGATTAAAATATTTTTTTCATTTATGGCACCAGGATACCAACCCACATTTTGTTCTACCATTATAAAAATGATTGGTCGTTCAATTGAAATCGTTTGTTGACAAACACTATGAAACAAGATTAAGTTTTAAATAGTTTGTAAACACTCTGTTTATTCGGTAAGATTGTTATACTTTCCTTTCTTTTCTTGATCAAGTAACATCACTGAACTTAGCGATACACATGTGACGTCAATTTGTCTGGGCTGGAGAACAAGTAGTATTAAGTTTTATTTAACTTAGATTTCACCAGGACTATGTATAATCAATACTCTCTTTTTAGATTTATGTACGTAACCGTCAGTACCATAACCAAAGATTCTACTACCAAGTTATTTATATTCTGATTAAACTCTAGTTGAACTGCGATTTTTAAAGTTAAATGATTATTGAAAAGTAATGAACTTCCATGTTTATCTAGTTCTTAGTGTCCAATTTCAAGAAGTCATCTCAGAGTAATTTGTAAATATTAATTTCCGTTTTTTTATATTTTAAACAACCAACAACATGAACTGTTACATACATTTTCATTTCTAATCAAAACAGACGAGTTCTTAGAAATCATCTTCTTACTTACCACTCGTGAAGCATAGACCGAGTGTATTTTCTAGTTTTCTTTTATTGCTCCCATATTGCTCCACGATAATCTTTCTTCATTTATTTACACTATACATCTAAGTCTATATGATTATAACGCATATATTGTCGATGAAGTTTACTTTGACACTTGACCAGCTTCCGACTTAAAACTCAGCTTAGTGTACTAAGCAGTTCCATTATCCACAGAGCTCTAGGCAAATAAAAATAATTATAATTAACAACTTCGCTTGGTATTGTTTGTTTGAATCTTCCCATTTTAGGACTGTTTAGGACTGCAATTGATCGGTCACTTATTGGTATATGTGTATACTGTGCGTATTACCTCAATATAGCCTTTATGAAGAGTCCCGAATAGGATGAAACGCGCGTTCTGGATTCCACTGCTAGCTTCTATCCATCTTTGCTCATAATTAACAAACTTTGTGGAACGGTAGAATTGAAGGTCAGTCTGTAATTGGATCAGTTTCAGAAAATATTGTGCTTGCTTAGTACCAGTGATCTCGAAGTGGGATATTAATCAGATCTGAAATCGATTTCAACTAGACTGTATGTGACAACAGACTAACATCCAGTTTACCATAATTTTTGGGAAACAGAACTCTGTTGAGTTATGGTTCTTGAGATTCTGGAAAACAGTGTTGGATAACAGCCGATGGAGCAACACTGAAAATTCAGTACTATCAATCTGAACTGCCCTTATTTAAATTTGCAACATTCATTCAAGTTTATTGATTACCTTATAGATTTTGTTCAAATCAAGTCCTTTATCACCGTCAGTTACATGGAAACAAACGGTTTTATTAATAAATACTTCGGAAATGTATTCTACACTCAAAACCAATGACATTCAATCAAATCATCAGATTTCAAAAATGTCTGAAAACAAAGTATAACACTGATAACAATGCTTTATGATAATAGTGTTGGAAATGTAGTCTATCTGACATACTTTTCTAGTATTCTACAAGTCAACGGTTAAAGGCTTGTTCCTGGTTAAATAGAAATGGTGTATATCTTTTACGTTTTCCTTATGTTTTATGTTCAATGAATTAAGATCTCAAAGTGAGTCAATGGATCATCATCACGAGGTTCCTACATTTTATAATATCAGAAATGTATGTATTAACGTGGTTTTCTTTATTAATGGGTTTCATATTCATTTTATATTTATAATCAACATCTTAATGTTTTTTACTTCCAAATTTCACTCTATTTTAATTTTATTCTAGATAAGGCATCGTAGTCCTTCGGAACAAGCAGGATTACGTGAAGGCGATCATGTATTGGCAATTAATGGTGTAGATGCATTGGATATGTCACATGCGCAAGCTGTACAAATTATTGATTTTGCATCTTATACATTAGAAATAATAGTAGGAAGGTAATTGATGTTTCTCTGATATTATTTAATTTGATGTTTCTTCCTATATTGAGATTTGAAAATTATTGTTAAATGACTAAGTGTAAATCAAAATACACCATATTTTAATCCATATTATCAATGTGGAAGCTAACTATACCAATCAGCCACCCAAATATAAAATGGAGCTCACTGATTGAAATTTAGATTATTTGCTTATACAGCCACCGCTTTTCGGTAAGCCATCAAAGAAGATTTGAATCCGAATTACTTACCAATCATTGCTAATCAGTGGAGTTAAAAATTAATCGGTTGATACCTCTACTGTCGACACTACTTGACTTATTTGATTGAACAGTTAATAACTTGTAATATTTGGTTAGAAATCTATTTATTATTGATATCATGCTAACAAACAATATAAAATGAAGTTACTTAGATAACATTCTCATGTGAGGATAACTGTCGTTTTCCCAATATACGGTAAAAAAAATTAAATTTCTAGCATATTCGAAGATTTTCCAGTTTTTAAAAGCGTGTGAATATTGCATGAAGGAGTTCACTTCTCCTCAATCTAATGTGGTAGCTTCTATACGACCATTTGAATGTATTCGAAATTTCCAATAGATATGAATAAATCTGATGGCATGTGACGAACGAGTCATATTTTATGTTGTCATAGTTATTACATTATTATCATAAGTAACTGTGACCTTATTTAGACGTGTCTGTTTTATTATTATACTCGTTAATTAAATTGATTCACGTTTTGTGTGTGTTTTTCTGTGTTTATATCTAGTTACCGTTTGCCACATTCATTATATTTGTAAAATTCTATATAAACCCATTAAAATATTAGTATTCTAAGTTAGAGTGCAGTTAACCCCAAAGGCTCATATGAATATCCAAAACAAATTGACAATAAAAATACATTTTGTGTTTTACTTTTGAGCTAGTTACCATAATCATCAGTTAACATGTTAACTAGAAAAATGATGAAGATGTATCCAGAATACGCCGTGTGAACCAGAATAGGAGTACATCTCACTGAATGTTGGACAATCGAAATCAATCAAGTGAGCAAAATAGACCATATGAAAATGGTGTGCATATTTAATCTTTGAGTGATCTATTATGACAAATTATAACCAGTGGAGTCCGATACATGTTGAGTGGAGACAGTTATTCACCTCAGACAATGGATGAAGGGTTGTGCGAGATTATGGACCGATTAAAATTAGACATTAACACCGCAAAATGCCGTCTCACTGGATTAGAGCTCAATCGTTCGCACGCCAGACTGAAGGTCCTGGGTTCGAGCGTCGCCTGCTGGATCGTGGATATACACCGCTGAGGAGTCCCACACTAAAACGTTTCTGCTGTCTATTGCTTTCAGCTCTTCAACGATGGTCTAGATTAGATCAACTCATGAATTCAACTATTAAAAAGATATATTATATGACAATCGTATATGCTGAACTAGTTTCCTCCATATGAAACTATAAAACTCTGAGTTTAATTAGTTTCAAAACTTTAATCACAGCAAAATCTCACTTCACTATTACCTGAAATTTTATAAGTTGAAAGGGATCTTATCATAAATTTAATCAGTTATTGTTATTTTTGCATTAGACATGTCATACTCGGCACTAAAGTGGGTAGACAGATTCAAGGACGTAACAGAAAACTATATCAAAATTTAATCATCTTTTCTAATTCGATAATTTAAAATTTTCTTATTTTTATTCAACCGATTGAACTTTTTTCTATCATCATCAACTACAAATTAGTCCATGTTTATTAGGGTTATTGTCAAGCAAAATGTTATTATACTATTAAATGTACTACATAGGTTTAAAACGTCCATTTTGGCTTACTGTCTGACTGAATATACCTAGTCAACTGAATTATTCGAATATGATTGGCTGAAAGATAAAAGATAACCGTAGTAAATAAGCTAACATGAGTTATTTTTTCTAACGAAAACCTTCCCTCTTTCCATTCCAGTGAATTTATTTGGCAGTATAATAAACGAAATCATTACAAAGGAATAGTTGACTAAAGAAAAACATCTACATGGAATTTAGCTTTTCATGCTTACTTGAAAAGCAGTATGTTTAATTAGCGAAGATCAATGATTGATCGCTTACTTTTTACAAACTGTATTGAATAACATTTAAGCCAAGCAATTAAATATGTATTCATTGTGACAGACATCATTAAATGTTTTATTAAGCGATACTCATTATATTTGTAAGTCTTAAATGTTAGTACAAACAATTATGGATTGGGGTCTACAGTTGGCTTACATTATCTGAGAATTGAGGAACGAGTGAACTATACGAATACGGACTGTTGTACTGTGTACTCAATAATGGCAACTGGTATGCACCCACATCAACAATTAACTATTTACCCAGGAAGAAGACGTGGTGTAGAATAAACTAGATATTTAACCAGGATAATTGTAATAGGTATAACTCAGTATGTGATAGAAACTAAAACATGAAGTTGAACAATACAAAATATAGCGAACTAAAAGTCATGATAATCAATTAGAAAATAGTAAATATGATACGATGTACCGATGTGGAACAAACGCATTCAAAGTCATTGTTACTGGTAAGAATTTAACTTAATTACTGAAAACTGAGTAATTCAATGATCATTTTAACAAGAAAAGTGTTCAGTGCTTATTACAAAGTAAAATAAAATAAACAGTTTCACATATGTGAGATCATTAATCTTTCACAATCAGATCAGCATTGGAAACCTGGAAGCATTATACGGCCGTTTCGTCCTAGTATGACTCCCCTCAGCAGTGCCAGACCGAAAGTCTTGGGTTCGAATCTCGCGTGTGGTATCATGGATGCACACTACAGAGGAGTTTCATACCAGGGCGAAAAGGTCATCCTGTGCTTCCAGGTTCTCAATTGTGGTCTAACAGTAATCGATTCATGATCTCAACCAAAAACTCAACAGAATCCACAACCCTTTACTGATGGTCTCACATAATATTTTTATGGTAATAGTTCGTTTGAATTTTTGCGAATTTGCAAATTTTATCTTTATATACTTCATCCATTTTTCATAAAGATATGAACGACATAAAAATACAGAAACAGTCTATATGGATAATAAAGCTTTATTATCTAAACAAAAACCACAAGAGATCACTACAACTGAATTACAGTTATTCTGGGAGAAAGAAATGCCACTGAAACCAGCTCGCCGAAATTGGCCACCTCCACCACAACCTGTACAAGAGTACAACATTCCATCTCAGCCAACACCAGTACAATCTAAACGTCCGCCATTAGTACAAACTCATTCAGTTTCAATACATGTACCTGCGCAAAAACCAGTGGCTATTCCAACACCACCTCAAATACAAACAGTACATATACCACCTCCAGTACGACAACAATCAATTGATCCACCTATTATACCTCATGATCCAGATGTTACAAGTGTTTCTGTGAAACAATTAATGCGAGAATTTGATGTGCCACCGATTGCACCAGAGCTTAAAAGTAGGTTATTTAAAAAGAAAAAATACGTGTTTTTGTATGAATTGTAATAATCTACAAGAAATTTTAAATAATCCTAGGTATCATTACCATGATTTGTTTAGATCATTGATCATTAGATGGATTATCAATAATAGAAATAAAGATATATTTGTAATATTCCAGTTAGTACAAAAATTAAATTTTCAAAAGTTTCGTAACTCCATGTAAACTAATTCTTCAGAAAATAAATAAATAAACAAATAAGATAAATGGAAATTTAAATAGTACAAGGGAACAGTGAAATTATTCTATACAATCAATTGTAAGAGGATTTTGATCAAGTTAATGTCATGTCAATTTAATAAGAGTGATCAGATCTGTTTTGGTATTGATTGTGCCAAACAGTTTTGCTTTGTTCCTTTGTACTACTTAACCTTTCGTTAACTAAATTTAATTATTTATTCTCGGAGGAAATCGGTAACACTGAGTTACGAAACATCGGAAGATGTAATTTTTATATACTCATTGTGATATTGCAAACATATTACTTTGATTATTGAATTTCCGATAATTTTAAATTGCGTTTTTAAATGTATAATAAGGAAGGAATCAGGCTTTAGTAAGTCTTTTTAAGTTTAAATTGATTTTCTGTTTGAATCAATATCAACCACGAAATCATTGAAGACTAAGAAGCCCTAATTCACTATTTCATCCTAGTATGAAATTTCTTAACAGAGGTGGTACTCGGGATCTTTCAAGAAATGATCAGGCTTGGTAGCAATAGGTTGGAATCTAGTTGCTTGCATCGCAAGCTTCAACCAATTTGAAATATATCCAAAGACCTTTTTTTATATAGTGGGTAATTACTTTATTTGAGTGTTCTGCACAAACTGAGACATTTCTAATCTATTCATTGTAGCATTAAGTGCTAATACTACATACTACGTTGAGATGTAAATCCGTGATTGAAGGTAGTCGACATAGAAACTTGGATCTATGTTCTGTTCTATTTGAATCTTGTCAGCAAGCTGTACTTGTAATCTTAAAGGAACTGATGTTCCATGACTAATTCGAACCAATGTCACCTACCTTCACAGTTAAAGACATTACCACTGATCTATTCTGGCCGTGACTAACCTCCTGTAGAACTGAAATACATTTCTAGTTAGTTGATCATTCGGTCATATAATATACCCTTATGGGCGAGGGTAATCTTGCACTGGTTTTCAGGTGAACCAGACACCATCCAGACTTTCACGGGGCATTCTTCATTCGGTAGTGACGAATGTCATATAAGTAAAGTCCTTCTTCCCGGTTTGTATCCACAAATAAGAAACACTACCTAAACATAAAAAATTAATGAATACTTTACTTAATAATTTAAAAGTAGGCTTCATCATAAATTTGTGTCAGCTAGGTGAATTATTGAAAATCAGACAACAGTGAAAATTTATTTCACGTTATTCTAAGATATTTAAATCTAATGTTTACAAGATCTAGCCAATGAACTACTCAGTCCCATACTACGAATCAATAACTGTTTTATACTTTCTTAATCGAAATGCTTTCTTAATAAAATTCACCGTATATTTTTCTCTTCATAATAAACTCATCCACACATTTCATTCAATTTAATATTCTGAACATTTGAGGACGGCTCCTGGTGAACTCAAGAAAGCTGTAAAAAACTCTGAAAAAGCCAAAGATATTCCATCCAATTATCGTTTGGAAAAACATTCCATAATCTCGAGGTGTAGCTTCCTGTTCGGATAAATGCTAAGAACGACTGCATGAGGATTGGATAATTGTAGTGATGATTTCGTTTTTACTGGAAACTATGAATACCTGAGTGTTTTGTACCATATTTGACACTGAAATAACATTCCCTCTCACTTGTCTTTACATTTACGACTTGGAGGGTTCAAGTTTTACCTGGAATAGCAAAGATTCAAGTGCTAGATACAACAGAATAAATTTAAATTAAATTAAATAATACTTAATTAGATTACTTTTAATTTGTTTGTTAATTGTTCTATATAGAAAAGAATTATGCTGATTCATCATTCTATTCTGATCCAACAAAATATTATCCAACAATTGAAGAACAAATTGAAATGGCCAGGAGAGTTGCCAATAGTTTACATGATCCATATAACCTTGAGTCGAAAGGTGCATGTATGTTTGAAAAACAAAGACAACGAGCAGAAAAACATGTGAAAGAAGGTCCAGAACCTCAACCAGATCCTATTGAGTTGGTTAGTGATAATTTTTTGATAATATGTAGATTAAATATTTCCAAAATTGATTAGTGGAATGATAACTTAGTACATAGGACTCTATCATTTCTGGCTACTAAGTGATATGTTTGCCTCATAGCCAAGTATATGAATCTTTACTTGGTGAATAAGCCAATAGGGTTAAACATTACAACTACTATTAAAACACACACAAGCTGTTCTATACGTAGATTCAAAGCGAAAGTGTTATCTTTTAGACTACTACTAAGGTAAAATCTAGTGAATAGTATTTCTAATTTAAAATGATTCATGATATATAATAACTGTGATTACCTAACTTTGAAAAATCCCGATATTGTTATCTAGAACAACATATATAAGCGAACAATATTGTTTTCGATCAGATCTTTATCTGGCTTCACTCATATATATAGCTCGAATTCGAGCCAACAATCCTAGTCTTTGTGTTCATAAGAAATTTGTAACACCTTTATCTCTCCCTTGGTTTTAATAAATGATTTTATTCATTATTACTTTTCACACACTTTCTTCGTTTATTTTTCTCCACTCCCTCCCACTCTTTTCTTTTCTCAAATATACGCTTCACGGTCCAATTATCTGAACACTTCTTATTACGTAATCGTATAATTTTTCTGAATTTTATTTCAGTGCCTATATTTTTACAATCATTGACCTATTTCCCATCATGAAACATTGTTTCAAGCCTTTATTATTCTTATCATAAATAGTACACCTGCAATCACGCTACCATGTTGTCTAGTTATGTTCCTGTTAAGAAAGCTTTAGGTATTGTATATAATCTCTTAGATTCTAACACTGAACTTAAACAACGTCGTCCCCTACGTCCCTCAGACATTATTAAAGTGTTAGATCTATGTTTATATTCAACTGTTTTCAGTTTTCGAGGAGATTTATATAAACAAACAGGTGTAGCTATGGGATCACCGGTTTCTTCAACTGTTGCTAACCTATTCATGCATTTAATGGAAACAAGTGCAATCTCAATGTGTCCCCTCTCCCCAAAAGTTTGATTAAGATAGGTAGATGATACTTTTGTCACTATAAAATGAGATGGTTTAGACGAAATATTTAAACATGTCAATAGCTTTTATGATAAAATCAAATTCACCAAGGAGTTTTAATCTACTGAACGCAAGTTACTTTTCCTAGACTGTTTAGTTGAAAGGAAATATAATGATTCTTTAAAAATTAGTATTTTCCGAAAGCCGACATATTAAGGGAAATTTCTAGATTTTAAGTCAGCACATCCACGCTCTACCAAAGTGACAGTGACCAAAAATTTGATCACCAAAGTTCCAAAACTTGTCACTGAATCAAATGATATAGAAATGGAAATGAATTTTGTTATATCCAATCCAATGATGAATAATCATCCGGAGAACAAAACGATATTATTAGAAAAAGAGTTAACAATGGTGATCCTATATAGTAAGGATATTTTAGAAAAGATCAAATGGTTCCTAACTATTCAAAACATAAAAGTATTCTATCGAACAAACAACACTCTAAGATCAAAACTAGTAAGAATCAAAAACCCAATGTACAAGGAGGAACAACACAACAGTGTCCATGAAATCAAATGCAATGACTGTAATGCAACGTAAGTAGGTGAAACAACAGGCAACTGTGTATGAAGGTGAAGGGACACAAACACAAACACAATTCTAAGTCCTCAGATGATGTAAGAAAACTTGAGAACAAGTCAGCGATAGCATTACACACGATATAATCGGGTCATACAATTGATTTCAATGGCACAAGAATCCTTCAAAAAGGTTTTAATTATTACAAAGCGAGACTAACAGCCAAAGCCCTATACATATGGGCGAATCCAAACAGTACTAATAGGAGAGATGGAATACAATTAGCTCTGCCTTGCCAACTAATCACTATTAAGTAAAAACCTGAACTCCTTTTCCATTCTATCTATCTCATATTATCTGAGTAACAACAATCACATTCAATGGTTCTAAAGAGTTTTCTCATCTGCATTCGTTAAACAGTTAACTGGATCATTAAAATAACACAAATATTCGGTTACAAATGCATTCTTCCTCTTTGAATTCATTCCTTTATCTTATTTATTTATCTGCATTTTATGAATGCTGTAACATTTGGATTCATGTCATTTATTAAAATTAAATATTTTCTTCAAAATTCACCGACCAGAGACAATATATAGTGAATGTTATTGAAGCATGCATCATTAAAGTCATCAACCCTACAAACACGCAGTTGACTTTAAAAAACCTGTGTAAGAAAGAAAATGAATGTCCAAAGAAATTGGCATAGTTATGCCATGATGAGAGTGTTGGAATGACATTGCATAGGGCGTGATAAGTAGAAGTATTTTCTTGGAAGGAGGACTGAAGTGTCATATTTACAAATGAATAATTCAGTGAAGTCTTACGAGTCTACAACTAGAAGCAAGAAAACGAAAATAGATTACACGCAACAACAATAAAAATTATTGTGATGAGTCTATGGTCATGGTCTATTGCTTCATGACTTACTGTCTTGAGTGAATTTCGTTTAAAATAAGCAAATGTTCTATGTACATTCTTGCAATCACGAAGTGAATGATGTAATTAAGAAAAGGTTTAAGATTACCCATGTAGTGTAAGGAATAGCAAAAACATGTTACAATGAAAGAAAGTTTAATAAGCACACTCAATAATAGCTGTTACAACAGATTCAACGTCGTTATAATTTCATTAAAGAGGTGAGATGTAGTCTCAGGTGTAAGCAATTGTAAGGTAATCTCAGAGGTGAGTTGATCATCAGTGTGTTGTACAAACCATCATATTATTTTTTTTACATGGATAGACTGTGATAACTAGTTCCATACTGTTGAAAATCGACTTGTAAATGAAACTCATCCAAGCATATAAATTTAATCATAGATCAAAGAAATGTTTAATGATTATTGATCAGTTTTTTACATTTATATTCTAAGGCAAGTCCTGAAGAGTTGGAATACATGGTACCTCCTGAAGCACCTCCACCCCCACCTCCGCCACCACCAAGTTTTCCTGGACTTCAACCAACCAAAAAACCAGTGGTTCCTTCACCCCCACCCATGACATTTGCACCAGGTCAGCCTAAAACAGTACAAGAATTTTTAGAGAAAATTAAAATATTTCCTAAAAATTTGCACGCAGATTTAGATCCACAAAAGTGTTTTGATATTGCTGCAGCTTTGTATTCATCGGATAGTCGTGGTGCTAAAATGTTTGCTAAACGTCATGCTAGAGCAATAAAATGGGATGCTAAAAATGTAGAAGATGGTGATGAACCAGGGAATAGAATGAATGTGACAGTAGCATCAGGTCCTGGACCAACTATACGTAGTCATGATCAATTAAAAATGGTTTCGAAACTTCCACAATCAAAAACACAACAACAACTTCTAATGAAGCAGCAACAACAACAAGCTCCTGTAAATCAAAATAATAATAATAATAATAATAATAATAACGGAGAGTTGGACGCATACAGAAAGTCATCTATTTCATTATCTACAAACAGTTCGGTAACTACACCGACACCTCTGGACAATTTGATTGGTCCTACACCAAAGCCATTTATACCAATGAGTTCAAACAACAGTGAGTTGTGTAATGTGTTTCTAGAATAATTCATCAGTAAAAATGAAATAACATTTGTTTGTATATAACTTAATAATTCATAACTTCAAATGAATCATTGTCTATTTAAAACACCTTGGTACGTATAATAAGTGACTTCCCGAGTGTTTTGCTAAAAATAAAAATTAACCTGATTATATTAAGTGGTTGGAATTATTCTATAACGAACCTTAGACGTACATTTTGTGCTTGATGGTACGCCTCAGCAAGGCCTTTTTGTTATCTTGTAGAAACGCATACTCCTTAAGGGGTTTTAACTAGTATCACTTTCGTTCACAGTAAGAGATGTAAATATGTAACATTTTAACATGGCATAATTGATGAGGAATCACTTAGACAAATGATCACATTGAAGCTTGATCGATTGAATTCAATCTGTACTAATCAGTTCGATGTACGCAAATTTGGCTACTACTCACTAATCGGTCAATTGTAAATTAACCTGATGACCACCATCTTTGCCTTTTAGACTATCGTGCATAAATTTAATAACTCATAGAATAGTACAGCAACACATATATTTACTATTTCATTGCACGGATATATATTTTGTAATGTAATTAAAGATTTATAATTTGATAGATTGTACTTAATTAATTAAACCAAATTCATTGTATTACAGTAACCCCACTAACTAATTACATAAAGTATATTTATTAATTTCATAATTAACTATACACTCGTTAGATTAAGTTTACTATGAATAATTGTGAATAATTACCGACTTCGTTAATTTATAACTTAATTGGATACAAACAAGGGAAATTAACAAGTACCTTAGTTACATTCATATAAATATGACTTCTTAAGGAATTGTAGAAAAAAAGAATGTGTTCTGTAGTTAAAGTCCATTTTAGATTTTAGTTGTTAAACATAAATCAATTGATAATGAAAATAAATAAATAGTTTAGTGTTACCAGGTTAATTAACTGATAGGTTAGTTAGTATTCTAATCAATAATCTGATAGTCAATAGTAAAAATTCATTAATAAACGAGGTTTAAGTAGAAAGATGAATAGATTTTCTACAGGTAACATTTAAAACCAAAGGTGAATAATAAGCAAAGATGGATAGAGGCTAGCAATGAAATCCAGTACGCCCGTCTCATCTTATTTGGGACTCGTCAGCTGGATGTACTTGGATCCCAAAGTTGATGTTCACTCCGGTAATGGAACCCAGTACTGTTTGTTTCAAATGCTATTACGTTATCCACTTAGTTATTGAGTCCTAATAGCCACTTGCTTGTGTAATAAGGTGAAGTGTTAATTCATTTTGTGTTATTTGTTTGAGACTTCTTATTCATGTTTAGGACTGCAATTGATCAATCTCTTATTAGCATATGTTCATCCTGTGTAGATTGCCTCGATAATGCCTTAAGTCACAAGCATTATGAGCAAGAATGGGATAACGCAATGGCCTTTGAAGTAAACGTCACTGGGTTCGAGTCCCGGAGTGAATACCAACTCTGAGATGCAGCTGATAGGTCCGGGGTATGAATCTCGCGAGGCTTGATTGTGGGTGTGCACTGCTGAGGAGTCCCACAATAGATTGAAATAGCCATCCAGTGCTTCCAGGTTTTCCATGGTGGTCCAGCTTCAATTGACTCATGATTTCAACTATATATTCTCTAATTGTTAAGTTTTAGCTCATTTAGCATAAATGAATAATTAAAATTATTTTATCTTGTTTTATATTCTTTGAATAAAAAACAATTTAGATACACCTTTTGGACAAATGAATAACAATTCTAATATTACTACTGGTAATAATAATATTAATAATGGTAGTAATACAATCGAAACAAATCGTTTAAATAATACAAGTGAATCTGGTTGGCGACCAGTGAAATTTCGAATTGGGCAAACTGCAAATTAAATGAACTGGTTTATTTTTCTCTTTTTCTTTCGTCAGAAAATCAAGTTTACAGGGAATAGAGTTATTTTATGCAACATTTTGTCATTTATATCTATATAAATAGATAGACTTAATAATAATCTGCTACGTGATAATGCTAATCATTAATGCTTACATTGTTATTATAAATACACAATGATGTTAGTATCGTAATAATAACTCTGCATTGTTAGTTTTTTATTTATGTCTTCCATATTTTTAGTCACAATAACCTATTCGTCTTTTTATCCATTCTCTAGTGTTTGTTCATAGGATACATATAACAAATCTATTCTCTGTTGTGTAACATGTGTGTGAGTATGCATCTCCGCGTCCTATTTATTCACTAACGTTTTTCATTTACATTGTCAATTCACTAAACGACAAACCATAACCTTTTTGTATTGCACATGATCATTATTACCTTGACGTCAGTCAGTATAATTTACATCTATGCCAGAAAAAAAGATTGAAAAAAATGTACAGAATGCAATCTTTAACAGATTTGAATATAATAAAAAACCTCAGTGAATTAAATTGAACAGTTTGTAAGGTGGTAAGAAGCATTGGAACATTGAATATACATTATGAACTGACGGCTAAAAGCACAATCTTTTAGAATATATTTAACCTACTACATACTAAGGATTATAGAGGCACTTCGTATTTTCAGTTAAACTAATCAACACAGTGTTCAACAGACTGCGTAAAACATAAATAAAATTAAAAAAACTGTCAGAAGGTATATATAACAGCTGTCCTTTAATCTATAACCGGCCTCAATGAGTACTGTTCTTGCTTAGATTATTCGATTTGTTTATTTCCCCATTTACTTTCAGTTGCTTATGTACCCATCCACATAAATACACAAATAACTATATGCTTATACTACCTACTCCTCTCTATCATTCTTTCTTTATAATTTCTTGCATATTCAATCTACCTATCTGTCGTACTCCTCACTTATGACAGAGTTTGACACCCTATAACTTAATCTTATTATATTAATGAATATTTTAACTGTTTTGTTAGAATGTATAACAAATGAGTTGAGTTATTAATCTTATTAAACGTTTTATTTCATTGTTATGGTACTCACTTCAGTATTTGGTATTCCTGTAATTTGAATATAAAGATTTTTAAACAAGAGAATAGATAATGCCCAGCTATTCTATGTTGTGCTTTTTTTCATGATTAAGGAAAGAAATATTGTATCTCTGGATATAAGAGAGACGAAATGTTAATTAAATGGGCAGCCTGACAGATTTCAAGTGTATGTCGCCTAAGTATAGTCAAATAAAATTGATAAAGAATATGCCAGTATATTGTTACACTTGAGTATCATAAACATACTGTAACGAGATGTCTCAATATGTACAAGGAAAACTGAAAACTGTATCGTCTTGTTACTAACTAATCTACAAGTAAAAGATGTGCATCAACTTATTAAATAATAACCTGTTTCGGACTGATAAGACACTATTGTAATTTATGTAATAATGGATGCTATTCAAGACCATAAAACATTTCTATTTGCGGTTGAAAATATCTTTCATTTGAAAGTAAAAACATAACCTAGACTGGCTAACAAAGAACATCATAATCATTCAATTTATATAAACTATTGAATATATTATTGGTATAATTAATTAAATTTAAACAAACATTAAAATGGTATAAGGATATACTAGATTTGCTGACGAGACCATAATTTATGGACAAACCAACGAAATTGAAAATATTAAGTCTTGGATTCTGGCATGAAATTTTCACCTGTATGGCTAAATAATGATTTAGCATTGCAGCTGATGTTAGTTTGTGAAGAAAACCCGAATTCCGAACCTTGATTTGAAACAGTAACACTAATTTATAATATTTTTTGACCTTAATAAGCAGGTGAATTACATCAAAGTTACTTTAGAATCACTCAAAGGTCATTCATAAATAATAGTTACATTGATTTACATATGAAATGGTTGCATACTCTGCAAATACGTTTTGTTCCTAAATAGATTAACAATAATCTCATATCACAAATTACTGTGGCAATAAAATCTTAATAAATAAATAAAACTTGCTCCATAGGAGCAGTTGAATTGATAGTTACAGAAAGAAGGGGCCAGTTTTGGTAATTTATCATTCAACCTCAAAGTGATCATTGGACGTGTGGAAAACATTAATTTTAGTTTACTTGCATTGAAAGTTCTTTGAATTGATCTACGTAACTTTAGTCTCTGCAGTTCACTAGGTGCAGTGCCTCTGAATTGTAAGCGTATATGCAGAGATTTGTTTGAACCTGAAAGGAAACGCATATCCGGAAAAATTTATAAATAAAATTATAACCGATAAAACAGATCATAAGGAATGCCCAACCATGAACAAAAAACCTTTGTATATACGCTTACAATTCAGAGGCGGTGCACCTAGTGAAATGCTAAGACTAAAGTTACGTAGATCAATTCAAAGAACTTTCAATGCAAGTAAACTACAATTAATGTTTTCCACAAGTTCAATGATCACTTTGAGGTTGAATGATAAAATACCAAAACTGGCCACTTCTTTCTGTATCTATCAATTGAACTGCTCTTATGGAGCAAGTTATATTGGCAGTTGTTCTAGAAATCTGTATATTCGGGCCCGTAAGCACCTCACAGTGTGGTTAAACACAGGTGTAGTTAAAACTGTCAACAGCTCCATTTTAGACCATTTAATTCAGATATGACAGACAGCCAATATGGAGCAATCTTTCACAAAAAATAAATAAATAAAAGGTTGAAATATAAGTGTTCTATCTAAATTTGGTATTCAGTTAGCTCAAATTATATTTCAAAGGAATGAAGATAGTTTATTCGTCTGTTGACATTATGGATAAAAAGTAAAGCTATGCAGTTAAAACAACACACAATTCAAAGAAAGAAAGAAAGAAAAAGCTACGTAGAATAACATAAATTCATTTTATTCCCAGGCTTCCTATCAGTTGCCAATGTCCTAAATGTACATTATTCTAAAAAGATTTTTATAACATACCAATGAACTTTGGTTGGAAACGACATAAATAGTAACAGGACACCAAATATGTTATATACTAGTTATGATTAATATGTTTAAATAATAATGTGTTCATATGTTGAAAGTGCAGTTATAAAAAGAAGGTGAGTGCAGTTGTAGATGACGACAATAAGATGATGAATGAATGAAAATAAATTGTTAACAACTAAGTGATAATCAAGGTACCTAGTTGACGTAAAAATAAATTTAAAGCCATGAGTGAATACAGCGGAATTTCGAAGTACAGTAAAGAGATAAACTAACTAACTAACAATATAGACTACCTTATCGACGACAGTGAGAAGTTTACTACACTTTCTTTCTATATAGAAAGATTTAGTCGAAAGAGTTTGATGATAATAACCTGCAAAATGGAGTAAAAATAGCATTTGCTACTTGTCAATTATTTGAACCGCTTTTGAGACATCCACATCGTGTTCACTATACATTATATATCTAGTGAACGTAAATTACGAGGAATATGTTAGAGAAACCTTTTAGATACTCTACTTTCAGTCCTTCTTATGTACGTTATTCCATAAGTACTTGTTAATTCGTAAATGGATTCAAATGTGACCTTAGAAGGTTATTTACCGATTATTTATTGGTTTAAGGAATATCTATTGGTATCACTAAAAGTGGTTGAGTTTGAGGGAGGTTTAAATATTAGCGCGCTGTTGTCCTTTACACAATGTAGCTTTTGTAAAACTAATTACAGTAAACATAACGAGGGCTTTGATAAATGTTATAAAAAACTCTACCACGGAACGTAAGCTTAAAGACTGATAGAACTGCAAATGGTCTCCTTATAGAAAGGCAGTACATAAAAACGACACCGTACAAAGTTATGTATTACATAATTTAATAAACAGCGATAGATGACTGATAAACTTTTGGTGAACTTTCGTTCTTTCATTTAGGTGGCGTAATAGCAAAGCTTTTGTCACCAATCTGGATAAAATCATCAGGACTAATTTCAGATAGAGGTGTGATAACCAAATTTTCCAGATTATTGATAACATATTCTGACAACCGTGATCTTGATTGGTTGTTGCTGGCTCTTGTCCTATTGATTGCCATCCTCTTTGATCTGATTTTTGACATTATAAATGTCTATGATTTTTCTAATTGGTTGATTAATTGGATCGATTTCGATATGTTTATTGACTGCTAATTGACACAAATCCCAAGTCTCCAAAAAGTGCTCTTGTCATTTTAGTATTCTCTTTGATAAACATTAAGACACTTCACAGTCAACTGCGTCGATAACTGTCTAAGTGCACTGATTTGAAAGAGGATAAATTGTGGGATTTGACAGCTAGTTGGTGCTAAAATACTCGCGAATCTGTTCAACTTACATTTTATATCTAAATCATTACTAAAATTACACTTCTATTATTAAAGTACGTTTAAGATAATAATATATCCATCCTTATATCTCTTTCTAGAGCGTTAAACAGAAATAATATGAATCCATAACTTGGTTACAAGATGGGAAATAATTAGGCTCTAGCTAACTATTTTTATGCAACGTTGTATAAAACAATAAGAGATGTTGGTTACGGAGTAAATTCAATTAAGACAATGCAATAAGATTATTGAAGAATATTGATTTGTTTAGAGGGAAGATTATATGTGATTTATGATATGAAGTAAGACCTAACTAGTGTAAAAGCAAACCAGGAAGGAAAGAACCCAACAAATAGAATGAATAATTGCTTATCATTTAAATGTTTGTTTAACTGACTTTATAATACGCAATGGAACTAATGTACAACTTATAATAGGAAGTGTATGCCAACAGTGGGTGCCTATATCCAAAGCAGAAAGAATTGGAGCCACAAAAATGAGTTTTTATGCACACGATACTACGATTTTAAGACATAGAAACCAATGATAAACATCTAAAAATTTAATACGTATGTTTAGAAGTT